GGTGGAGCCTTGTGCATTCGCCAGGGCAGGGCAACCATGGCTCCGTGTGTAGGGGAGGGATTGAAGAGGGGACAGTGCCACTGCTGGCTGACTTCTGGGGGCTTGCCTGGGCCTCACCCCATTTCCAGTCATTTCACCCACTTCCTGTAAGTGACTGGCACCCCTTCAGCTGCTTTTCTGGTTGTGGTTCCCAGGATGGGTGGGTTTGCAGGTCTATTGGCAGATTCTTCCTCTGCCCCAGCCCCCACTGGGTTTACAGCCAGAAGTATTGTGGCTTTATTTTTCCCCCAGAGCTGAAGCCCTGCGCACACAAGGTGTCCCCCTGATTTTTAACCACCACATGTGAATGTGGGGCTGCCCGATCTGCCAGCTACCACCTCGCTGCCACTCCACCCCTGGCTCACTGCCACCACACCGAGTCCTCTCCACCCTGACTCCCTGTCTCTGCCCCTCCTACCCATCTGGATGAATATAGCTTCTTTAAATCCTTGGTTGTCAGACTTCTGTACAGTCTGGCTATTTTGCGGGTAATTTTCTGGCAGTTCTGGGTGTTTTTCATTTTTAAGGGAGCTGTGCTCCTTCTTATGGTTGTGCAATGAGGTGAGGCATGCCTACCTACGCCTCCATCTTGACCAGAAGCCTACTTTAAAATTTTTGAGTGTTATTCTTTCAACTTCAATATGAGGAAACCAAAGCCCAAAGCTATTAACTGTTTTGCGTAAGTTCACAAAGGCATTTAGAAGCAGACTAAAGGACAGAGAAAAGTTTCCTAGGCCCCAGTTTAGTCCTGTCTCATGCTGGTTCTTTCAAAATGAACACTAGTAGGTCTGGGGTTAGGTAGATGGAATCAGGAAGAAGAACAGAGTTTAGCACTTGGGAAAGAACAGCTGGTGGCCAGGGCTGGGGACTGTTGACAGAGACTGGGCCTGCAGGCTGTTCAGAGAGCCATATTTCACCAGGCACAAGATGAATCAAGCCTCCTTGGGTACTGCTGGTTCTGAATGCTCTTGTTTAACATGCCAGAGGCACACAAGACAGCAGGCATCTGTGGAAAGTTGTCTCCAGCACAGCACAGCACTTGGAGACCTCTGCCAAAGCAAGTCATGCAAGAGCCATACAATATTTGTTTCTGCAAGGGCTCATAAGCTCCTGGCCCTGAGACATCTGCCTAATATCCTGCTGCTCCTGCTGCTGCTGCTGAGGAACTGCAGCACATCAAACACTGTGGCATTTGGGAAGGAAGTTAAACCTCCCATGAAACTAGAACAGTTGCACTAAGAAATGAAAGCATAGGAAGACTTGCTGCAATAGCAAAATGGGGGCTTAGGTTTCTTTTGGTCATCAGAGTCTAAGAACGAACACAACATTTTCAAACACACTGGTGTCAGCAATCAACCCTCACCATACACAGCAGCTAGCGGGACAGCCAGCTTACAGATGGCTCCCTTTCTGTGTAGCCCATCTCCTTAGCAAAGGAAAAGACAAAGTGCTACAACAGAGAATAAAGAGAAGGCCTGTTTTGTCCTTTACTACAACTTTGTCCTTTACAGCAAATGCTGTATGTCAGCTCCTGTCCTGAGAGCTTTATATGTACTAACTCACCTAATCCTTACAGCATCTGTATAAGGGAGCCACCATGATTAGCTCCTTCTTACAGAGAAGGAACCGGGCACAGGGAGGTGAAGTAACTTGCCCAAGGTAACAGGGATAGGTTAGGGGCAGAGATGGGCTATGAACCCAAAAGCTCGGTGTCTAAAGACTGTTCTATTAACCTCTGTGCTAATCTCCCTCAAACTAAAAATTAAGAACAAAAGAAATACTATTCTGGATAAGACCCATGGTTCAGGATCCATTCATCTACCTACCCACCCACCCACAAAGTGGCAAGCATGAAGCTAGGCTCTGCAGATACCATGGTGAGCAAACACAGATGCTGTCTCCAGCTTTGGTGGTATGTTCTTACAGTTGAGAGCTTCTGGGGCACCTTCTGGGCCCCCATCACCCACTCTCCTGCCTGTGGCAGAAGTGCTGGTTCCCCTAGAGGGCCAGGTCTGTGCTGATGCTCTGGACTCATTTCTGGGAGCTCAGTCTAGATCCCACTCCTCTGGCACTTCCAGAGATTTTATACGCATTTAATTCTTCATATGAAATCATGGTCTCCTTCAAATGACAATAGTGATGTCTGCTTTCTGCATCTGAGCTGTGACAAACACATTTTCCTAAAGGGCTAAAGGATGGGGGTTAAATAAGAGGGGCTCTAGGGCAAACAAAGGAAAGAGGAGTAGCTCTGAGAGGTTGTGTGTGTGTGCATCAGAGCAGGAGAGAGCTGTAGTGGTGGGGGAGGCTGGGCGGGGAGGGGCCTGAGACCCAGGGGAGAGAGCCCAGATCTGCAACACTGCTCAGCACCGGGACAGGAACCCAGGGCCAGACCAGGTCTAGTGTTTTCCCAGGTGTTCTGGGGATACCAGGACATCTTATCTAGCTTCTGTGGAGAAGTAGCATGGAAATAGAAAGAAAGCACACATTTTTCCTGGAGCCACAGGACTGAGGACTAGACTGGGAGAAGAAGTAGATAGAAATTTGCCCAGGCAAGACCTCTATCTTTAAAATTAGATATGACTGGGCTCTTATTCGGGTCTGGACATTTGTCCTTTCCTAAGTACATACACTTGGTGTCCCATCAAATCCTCTGATATGTAATAAAGATATGCATACAAGATACATCCAACAAATATTTATTAAACATTTACTATGTGCATGATACCAGCCTAGTCACTGAGGACATGGCAGTGAACAAACCAGATCCCAATCTCTGTCCTACAGGGCTTACATCTGTGATTTAAAGCTTCTTTAAATTTGAAAAATATTGAAAAACTAAAACATGTAAAATCTACCTACAATTCCAGCAAAATCTTTTTCTTTATCTATGTGAATATATAGCAAGAAGTCAGGGGTCCTCCTGTCCTTCCGATCCCTTCCATCCTTCCCAAGGTAACGATTATAAATGTTTTCCAAAAAGCTTTAAGACTGATTAAATGTACAAACCCATATACTTTTTATCAACATTTTTAAACCAACATAGAATAATGCTTTATAGAATGATCTACAGCGTCATGTTTTTCACCTAATGGATCATGCACCCTGCTGTAGTTAGAATTCTCCAAGAAGCAGAGCCTGAGTCATGGGTTCAAATACAGTCTCTGCTCAGACATTTAGGTCTATCCCTTTCATTTTAATGGTGACACAGCATTTCACTATGTGTCTATGTCACTATTCATTTAATCCCCTCGAAATACACATACATACTGCCCCCCTCCTCCTTGTCCCCACATCCCGCTCACCAGCATTTAGGGCGTATGCAGCAAGGGCCAATGGCCGCAGGACAGGGCTCTGAGATGTGGAGAAATGACAGCGTGGGCAGCAGTGAGATAGAGTCTGGGAGACTTATCATGCCCAAGATTTGTAGCTAATACATGTTTACGTGAAGTCAGCCAAATCGATCATCACAATGATTGTAACAATGAAAAGACCTCATTAATTTAGTGGTTTGTTTTCCCTTTGCCAGCTATAGCAGCGACTTCTTGACATTCTCTGGTATAAATTTCATCACACACCACCAGTTCTCTCGTGTCTTGCAGAACTAGTCCACACCACAGTATGTAAGATAGCTATTTTTTAATGGCAAAACTACATATAATTAATTGTCAGAGTGACTTTATCTGTACGTTGTGGTAGAGATGTTTTTAGATAACTGAATAAAGGATGGGAATTTGTGTTCCTAAACTGAGCGCCAGTTTCTAAGGCCTGCTGTGTCTTCGTTGGTGACATCAGGTGCCTGCCGGCACCATCAATCAGTATCTCTACAGCCTCCATGAGAACTGTGGTACAATGCGGGAGGAGATTTCGTATTGGCTGCAAAGACCTGGCACCTGGCCCTTGTACCCTGTGCGCCTGTGGCAGGTCACTTGGCCTTCCTAGATCTCGGGATAATGATGCCTCTCTGGCCTACCTGTCATGAGAGCCAAAGGAAAACAGAATGCAGGAGGACTCCAAGTATCGGCTACTCTCTGTATGGGAGGAAGAATTTGGGTTTTGCTAGTCTCCAGTGGGTAACCTTTACTCTTGCTAATATGCCCACCTTCAAAAGGCCGCATCCTGAAGCTGAACCCCTCACTACGTCACAGTGGATTTTACTGAAGATTTCATGGGGGAGGTAGAGAAGGTTTCTTCACACACCCCACAGCAAAACTTAATGATCTGTTCCATCAGAAACATCTGTTCTTCCTTGACAGCTCATTTTGGCCACCAGGAACATGAATTCCGCCTCCTGTCTCCTTCTGTCTCCAACAGAGCCACCCAGCCCTGATGGCTCCAGTCTTTCTTCACTCCTTAAGCTTCCCTTTGGGCCTTTCTATGGTTCTTCCCTGCAGAGTTATCACAGAGCAATTACTCCTTTATCCATGGATTCCCATACCATCTTCCTACTCACTAGTCAAACACTGGCTCCCTCTTAGAAAGCAGTGGGGGAATTTTAAATAACAAATGCTTTTGCTATCACAGACTTTTTTTTTTTTTTTCCTATTGCCACAGTACTATTAGGTGATTTTATTATTCTAATTGCTCAAAATGTTTAGGGACTGCTTAGGTCCAGAAACTTGGGAATCATCCAAGGCCATACCTCGTCTGACACCTGAAGTGACTAGGAGCAAAGAAGTGATGGGACTTTCCTCAGGTTATGGACTAAGTCTGACAGGGCCGCAGTTAAAAGCAGCGGCTGTCCCCCACCAGCGCTCATCTCATACACCCAGCCTGCCGTACAAATGAACTGACAGGCTTTCAGACTCAGGGAACCCAGAACTCTGAACTGGAAAGGGACTTCGAGTTCATCTAAAACAAATCCCTCATTTTAGAGACATTAAAATGGAAAATTTTCTGGTAGTTTTTGAATCCTAAAAATGCACCACAGATTAAATGGGTATTTTTAAAACTTAGGTACTTGCCTGGTGGGTATGATTTGCAGGAACATATACAGACTTAAACTGTTTCATGAGATCCCGCGCTCCAGCGATATCCCGAAGCGAAGTAAAGAGCTCGTCCAGGGCAACTTTGGCGAAGTGAAATGTCAGGTTAGTTGAAGAGTCACAGCCTGAAACAATGCAGAGAGATTTTCTTGGGTGAGCAAATCTTTAAATGAAGTTTTAATCATGACAGCTTGAGCTTGATGTAACACAGTTGGGGTTGTTTTTTTTTAACCCTATTTTTCCCCTGGCAGTTCACCAAGTGGGCTGTTTCAATCATCCAGGAGCAATGAAACATATTGAGTATAAATGCCTTTGACAGAACAGAACTCAGAATGGCCTGCGATGGCAGCCACTGGCTTCAATCCCCAGACGGCAGAAGTTTCACAGACAGAAAGCTCCCCTGCATCTACTGTCCTCAGAACTCAGTTCTGAGGCACTGTGAGGAGACATAGGAAAATGCAAGAGAGTGCTGTGATGAACCTCTCTCACTTGAATTCCACCAACAGTTTCCATAAAACAGAATAACAAGGATGAGAAAGATGACAGAGCTCTCTAATAACAGAATGTGCTGGGGTGGGCATCTTTCTAATGTGCTAACAAAACCTACGGCATATTTCAAAAGGCAGCCATTCAAAGTTGACACAATGCAAAGGGGGCTGAATAAGAAGACTGTTTTCAGTGATGATTCTATTTCTTTTATAAACTTATAATAGATGAATTTATTCTCTACCTTGTTAGAAGCTCACTCAAAAGAAATGATTGTGGGTAAGTCAGAAGTTAAGAAAATAGAGAAAGATTCAAGATGGATATTTTTGACTCTCTGAAATACTGCATTAAATCATTAATTCTCACACGACTCACAAGACACAAACTATTACTTTCCTCATTTTAAGGATGAAGGTTAAGTAACACTTCTGTCAGCAGGCACTGTCCTTGCATCTGCTCAGTCACTCTGGACACCACCTGCAGGTGTAGGGGACAGTTCCCCAGGTATTCTGCATCACATCTCATACCTGACATCTCTCTCTCTCTCTTTCTCTCTCTCTCTCTCTCTCTCTGTCATTGTGTCTCTCTTGCTGTCTGAGGGCTTTCTCCAGTTGCAGGAAGCAGGCTTGGCTTTTCGGTGGAGCAGGCTGGGAAGTCAGCACTCACACAAACAACCCAGCGTTCTCATCCCTTGGGAGAACAATTCTGAATTGCGGTGTCCACAGCTTTTCCAAGGGGCCATGGCAGGACTGAGCCTCAGTTGCCTACAACCGTAACTCACTCACTAAGGCCCCTTTTTGGCCTTCTTTCCTCCCTTCCCTGTCTCACTTCCCTACTTCCTGACTGCTTCCTAGAATATCTTTCCAAATACAGTACCTGCACCAAACCCTCGTCTCAGGAAACTGGAGCTTCCACAGCCACTGGATCATGACCCCTTCCTCAGACTCAAGAATCTGCTAAACAGTTCACAGTACTCAGGAAAGCACTTTTCTTTCTATTGCGGGTTTATTACAAAGGTTACAACTCAGAAACAGCCAAATGAAAGAGATGCACAGGGCAAGGTAGAGGGGTGGGTGTATGTGGAGCTTTCATGGCCTCTTTCCCTGCTCCACCTTCCCAGAACCTCAGTGTGTTAATCAACCCAGAAGCTCTTTGAAGCCTATTGTTTAGAGGTTATTATGGAGGTTTCATTACATTGGCATGATCAATCAAGATCCTTGGCCGTTAGTGATTAGCTCAACCTCCTCTCCCCGGAGGTTGTGGGGTGGGCTGAAAGTTCCAACTTCCTAGATGTGTCTTGGTTTTTCTGGTGGCCAGACAGCCCCCATCCTGAAGCTATCTAGGGGCCCCCGGGCATCAGTTATCCCACCAGCATACACGACACTCTCATCGCTCTGGACATTCCAAGGGTTTGCAGGGCTGTGGGGAAGGAACTGGGACGAAGACCAGTAGATATATTTCTTATTGTATCATAAAACTCCTCTGACCAGTCTTTTTCTCCTGGTTTCTAGAAATGTTCAACTCATTGCCATTAAAAAAAAATTCAAGGTCTGGTCAAGCCCAGTGGGAGGAAGCTGCCCTGTGTTCAGTGAACTACAGCAGGTCCAGGCAAGGGAGTCCTTGGAGGGAATTCAGAGAGTTTATGTGAACTCCCCAGAATTCTAGGCCAAACTTTGTGGAAAAAAAAAGTGTCATTTCTCAGGCACAGGTCCAAATCTTCCTCCTTAAAGAGGTTCATAACCAAGACAAATGAGATCCCCAAGTACAGAGGACCTATTACCACACCATGCTCGCCCTCGGCATTGTAGCCCTAGTTGAGATTCATCAGCTTGTGTTTTAGTCAACAATCAACCAGAAGAGATCTGGGGAGGTTAGAGCTGCTCATTCTGTCATGGGCTTCCTACCTTAAACTCTCAGGTTAAGCCATTTAACATATGGGAAATTATATTAATTATATCTAAGTGTTATATATTATGCACTACTCTTTCAATGAAAAAAGGTATGAGAACGTTACTAGTTCTAATACCATGCATGTTTCAATTCCTCTAAAGCACAATTCAGCCAATAGGTTATGTTTTTAAAATTTAAAGTAATTAATTTTCTACAGAACAGAAATATTAATTCAGTTTTTCATATGGTCTATTTCAATTTTTTGAAATAAATATGATGTTCACCCACTAGTGGAATAGAATTACCTATTAGATTATAAATTACTGGAAATTATAGATTATGCATGGGAATTATGGATTATACACTGGAATTAAGCAAATGCTACGTAATTACCAAGAGTTAACTCATCTGCACTGCAGGTTGTTTGACAAAACTGTTGACAGTTTACTGGTAAAAGAGCTCAAATGGACTTAAGAGAAAAATGAGACTGTCAAAGAAATTATTGGAAGGAAATTAAGAGGTCCTAAATTTGCCAATAAAATAAAACATTCCTGAAAGACAGACAGTTACCAACTGTACAAGGGAAACTTCCGCCCAGACCATCAACCCTTTCCGGCATGTCTGGCATCCTTAAAGCAAGTGTTCTGCAGCGCACGTGGTTCTGGGACCCCAGGCCATTTGAATCGGCATCTCAGCACTTTTCATTATTATCTCAGTCTTCACCCAAAGCAGGTTTTAGGTTCATTTACCAAACCCTGCAATGAAAGTTATGTGCACACATACTTTAGAGATGTGGATCAGAGAGGACAAATGACTTGTGCAAGATCACATCACTATCCCTGGCAAGGTCAAGGGTTCAAAATGTCCCTTTAGTCACAGACGTGAGCTCCTTCATGTCCACTGTCTCCCCCCATTCAGAATCTCTTCTGTGAATGCAGCTCACTCCAAATTCACGCTGCGGTTGATGGCTAAGAGAAGGGGTGGGCAGAAAAGCTGTGAAATGGGGTGAATTCTTTTCTGTGAAAACAGTGACAGCTATAATCACTGAACGCTCATGTAGGTTAGGCACTGTTCTAAGAAGTTTATACATATAAGCTCATTGAATCTCCACAGAAACCGTGCAAGGTAGGTACTATTATGATTTCCACCTTGTAGATGGGGAAACTAAGCCATTGAGAAGTTAAATAACACAAAGTCACTCAACTAGTAAGTAGAAAAGCTAAGATTTGGGCCCTCACAGCCTAACTGGAGTTGGTTCTGTTAACCAACTTTCTTTCATATGTGCTAAGACCACCTATATAAAATATGAATTTAAAAAATTCTCATTCACTCTGAATATGGAAGAAATGCTTTTAAAATGGAGTGCCCATCTTCTTGGGAGGACCTGGGCCTGTTGCTGGCAGCAGACACTAACAGACCCCAGGCCCGTCTTTTGTGGCCACACAAGGCGCGAGGTCTCCCGGGCTTGGCTGCACACTCTCCTTTAGGTCCCTGCTCCGTAAGGCGCTGTATTCAGTTATTTCTAATAAGCCCCTGACAGCCTGTTCCATTAAACCAACGTAGGAGATAACAGTGTTTTGTAAGGGCACTCTAACTGTACAATTCCAGTCAATTCTCATTGAATTCACTTGGTTAAATAGATAATAAACCAGAAGCGGATCCTAGCCTTCAGCCATGCACGATCTGTGTGCTTCAGTTGCCTACTTCTTGATAAGGGAGGCCCCCCAGTCTCTGGGGCGCCCTTGTGTTCTTCTAAGGCAGGGGATGACTCATGGCCCTGCAATTTCTTTCTCTGCGGGGCTTGGGGATCTCCAGGGCAGGGGTCCTGTTACTCCTCAGAGCAACAAAATAGGGCTCCTGTGTCCATGCCTACCCTTTCCCCGAGCCCCTCTCACCCGTCTCCACTTACTGAGGTCCCTTCACTTCAGCGGAGTGAGAACAGTGGTTTCCATGGTTTTGTGCACTGCGGGGACCCACACTCTCAGCCGACAATAAAGGTAAAATGGAGGGAAAGCTGAACAGCTTAATGACCCTCCTGGGACGGCTGTAATGAAGCTGTGCTGCTCACGCCAGTCTGGTCCCACGAGTTTGGTTTTATTCCCAAGGTCCTGAGGAAAATAAAGCGTCTTGTATCAAGAGGCTGCTGTGTCCAAGGCCTTCATCTGGATGGGAGCTAATGTAGCCCTCATCGAAGGCCTTCCAGCACCTGCACGCGCGCACACACAAGCACTGAAGCAGGCCAAACATAAAGCGTGCCACTTCATCGGCCCTTCTGTAAAGCTGACGGGCAGGGCTAAAATAGCATTTGAAATGTGTCTCTATGTAGCGAAAGTATTCTCACAGTTCTCAAGGTCCCTCCCAGCTGATTGACAAGAACTAGGATCAAAACATATTTGAGCCTGGTCAAGAGACCCTTTTCGCATGTGGGCCCAAGCTTTCCAAGGCTGGCCTCCTCATCCCCGGACTGGCCCACCGGTTGAAACACCAGGCCCCCTTTCCAGTCCGCATCCTGCCATCCTGCCTCCAGGCAAATCCCTGGCAGCAGGGGGCCCCCTCCCTGGGCCCCTGGGGCAGTGAGAAAAAAGGTCAGCTTGGGAGTGTGCCTCAGCCAGAAAGGCAGAGCACAGGAGGTCGTGACCTCCCTCATCCATCCAGCTGCCTGACACGGCCTTTTCTCTCTTTTCAAACCATTGTTTTAAAGATGGAGTCTTTTCTCTTGGCTCTCAATAAATGTTTGGTAAATAAAAAC